CGAAGGTATACGAATTAATCTGAAAGGGAAAGTTGACGAGTAAGTAGACGAATTAACCAAAAAGTAGACGAATAGACCCGAAGGTATACGAATTAATCTGAAAGGGAAAGTTGACGAGTAAGTAGGCGAATTAACCAAAAAGTAGACGAATAGACCCGAAGGTATACGAATTAATCTGAAAGGGAAAGTTGACGAGTAAGTAGGCGAATGAACCCACAAGTAGACGAATTAACCTTAAAGTGGACGAATTAACCTGAAAATAATGAATGAACACGGAACTGAAAGTAGACGAATGAATCTGAGAATATAAAACGAATAAACGAGGAAATGAGCATATAATATATAAGAAAGAAACGGATATATTGACAGAACAAGCATTCATATAACAAACAAAGGAGTAATGAATAATAATGCTGTCGAAATTGTCCAAGACTGCCACCCATTGTCGAGGAAAAAAGTGGTTGTCGTAGACAGGTGGATGTTTTAGACATTGTCATTATTTTATTTTTTTTTAAGCAAGAGAAAATGGGAATCGGTTGTTTGTACGCGTCTTTGACTGGTGGCTGTTAGATCAGGTTCGACTGTAAACGAAATATGGACGTAGAAATTATCTTGACACGCAAATATGTACATGAATTTTTAAAGAAAATAATGTGGATGGGATGCTGATGCTATCAACAGTAGATATTTTTTTTTAATGAGTTTTTTTTTTTCAATGTAAGTATTTTTTTAACGTCTTTATAGATGCAATTTAGATCATTTGTGAGGCAGGCTGCGACCCTGCCTGTCAGGGTCAAAACGTGCTGAGAGGAATACATACATCCCAGCAGAAAACCGAGACAACGATACATTCTTCACAAGCTGGAATTGAATTCCGGTATTCTGTGTGCAATGGCGAACAAGGTGTTCTGGTGTGGTTTGCTCCTTCTTTCCTATCAAACATCTATCGTCCTTTTCTCCCCTTCTTCTTTTTTATGTTTGTTCCTCTCTTGTAACGCATCTAATCTTCTGGCGCTAATATGACCTTGTGCAGTTGCGAGCGCCGTCAAACATCTACTAAAACTAAACTAACTAACCACTACACCGCTGAAGCTGGATGCTTTAACCAGATAGAGAAAAAGATACAAGTTTACCTTTTGATTTGAAAGTTTCACTGCAGGAAACAAAGTGGCACCCAGACAACAGTGATAAATAGTAAAACTGTGTCGAAAATCTGCGAGCAACTTCGAGATGTCTTGTCCCGTTTTCTTTATCTCGATGAGTCCATAGAAGGACTCTGTCTTAATGAAGAATGTCGCACGAAATGCATCGCTTTTATAATGGCGTCTGGGGATGTGGGTTTTTTTTTCCTAAACACCGTTTTCTTTCTTTAGTGAGCAAAACAGGATAGACTTTCGCTTCCTTTTCGTTTTCCTGGGAAAGGAGCGGTGATAAAATGCAGCTGCCATCGCCTCCAAAGTACACCTGGATGTCATCAAATGTAGGTCACTTAGTTTGTTTCAACAGAGCATTCTCCGAGGGGCTGGTAGTATCCTGGTCAGGGCTGGACAAAAACCCAATTTCCATTTAGTCGGTTCCAAATTAAACGGCAGAATTAAGCTGGTGACTTAGCATTGAGAAATAGCTCGTACTGGAAAAGCCAACGAAAAAAAGACAAGTATTAAGGGGGGGGGGGGGGGGC